CCCCAAAACCCCAAAACCCCAAAACCCCAAAACCCCTATATAAACGCCAAAATTGAGATCTGTCAGATTTTAAAATGGAAGTTGTTTCCCTCGTGAAGATCATGATTGAGTGTGGCCACAGTCAACACTTAACAAGAGAAAGATCCTTGAGAGCTTTCTGTGAGCAGTTTGAGCAAACAAAAGACTCCCTTGGGGAGGAAGTTACACTAGATGCTATTTACCAAGTCTTGAGGCTCATGTTTAAGTCGAGAGAGTGGGAGTCTAGATATGGCGCAATTAATATTTCTGTCAAAGCCTTGGACATGACCCAACTAGCTCCTGATTCTGAAATATTCCAACAGTTCAAAACTTTCTTATTTGAAAAATGCCAAATTCTCTTCATTGATGAGGAGTTCAGAGTCAGGAACAATGTAGGAGACATCATGAAGAAACTCATTAAGGTTGATGGCAGTAAAATCTACGATGAATTCAAAGATTTACTGTTTACAAACATCAGGGATACTTTCAATAGAGATCCTAAAGGCAGTGATGCATCAAGCAACCCAAGTAAGCTCCTATTTTCGAGATTACATTTCTAATGTGTTTTACAATAGATATTGAAGAGAAAAAGGAATCTTTACCAAATAGTCAGAAAATTATTACTGAGAAACACCCCAGCCTATGGGATAAACAAACAGATGACATGCACGATACAGAAGGATGGAAGTCATTGGAAACCTCAATGAGGCTTCTACAGAAGATGATCGAAGCTCTTGGCACAGACTTCTTGATATTTGATTTCAAAGAAGTTACTGAACTTCTTTTAAAAGCAGCAAACCATTTAAACAGATTCGTAAGAGAAATCTCTTACTTTGTTGTTGAGTCTTTGTACAAAATCTCTGAGAAATGCGATGAAGAGAACAAGAAAAGGTTTATCGAACTCTGCTCTGACTTAATCCCTGTTACTTCTCAAGGACTAGCAGACAACTGGAGTCAAGTCAGATTTGCCTCCTGTTGTGCTGCAAGAGCATACTATAGTTTTGCAAAGACAAATGATTTCTTAAGGCAAGAATATGATAAGGTCCTCATTCCAAGGTTATGCCTAAATAGGTATTATGTAGCTGAAGGAGTAAGGAACTATTCTATTGAAACTTGGAGGCAAGTCGCAGAAGAGAAAGGAATCGAGCTTGTCATTGACAATGTAGAATATATCTGTCAATTTTATATCTCACAATGTTTGGCAGATAATCATGCAGTAAGAGAAGCAGCTTGTCACTGTATCTCAGAATTATGCACTAAAGTAGCTAATGTTGATCCTGAGCCTTTCAGACCATATATTGACGACCTCTTAGGAGCTCTTATAGACTGCTTCAAGGATCAAAGTTGGCCAGTCAGAGATTCAGCTTGTATCTCATGTGGAAAATTTGTCCAAAGATTCCCAGAAGAAAGTTCTAACAGAAAGGAAGAGTTATTTGCTCTATGGATTGCCCATCTCTCAGACAACATTGCATCAGTTCGTGAGCACTCTGCTATGGCTCTGATGGATGCAATGGATGCATATGAGGATGAAATAGTTGAGCTCATAAAATCTGAGATCAAAGAGAACTTAATGAAAGCCAAGAACGATCAGCAGAAAGAATCTACTAAACACTCTGGATTGAGCAACACTTCTACATTTGGCGTTGTTAGACCAATAGACAATGAGGAAGAGAAGCATGCAGACCAGCAACTGTTTTCATGTGGCTCCCTTGCTCCAAAGCTTAAGAGAGGAGGTAAGATATTAAGAATCTAAACTATAGGTGGATGAATGGATCATGGATTCACCAGAGATAAAGAGCCATGGGAGCATTCAGACGGGTGTATCTATCTTGTCAGAGAGTTATCCAGAACTAAGAGAGCAGCACTAGTTGCCAACTACCTAGATTCTTTGAGCGAACTTGGATTCGTTGATCATTTTAAGCATTCAGCTCATCTCAAAGAGAACTTGTTCAAATCGATAAAGACTATCATGCATAATTTGAAGAAGAAGTTTAGACCATTCCTCGAGATGTTCCTTGATCCTCTGTTTAGAAATATAAAGCATCAAAACAGGAACTGCGCAGCTGCTGCAGAAGATTGCTTATTTGCTATGGAATCCCAGTTTGGAAAGAACATATTCAAAGCAATCCTAGAAAGTGAAAACCCATCATTTGCTGAAGAATTTGCAAGAATCAAGGGAGATTTTCATCCACCAGTTTAATTCTTTCAATTAATCATATAAAAATAGGGGTTTTGGGGTTTTGGGGTTTTGGGGTTTTGGGGTTTTGGGGTTTTGGGG